AGTCTTTGGGTTTGAAGCTGTTGGGCTGACATGTGAGGTATGGCTATTCAAATTATATGACTTGATAGCAATCAAATRTTTCTTTTTCYTTCTTAAAAGATCAAAAAAATAATAAAAATCTTTATTTGATGTTATTGAGAGGCTTCACATGTCTATCATAAAGACAGTTTTCATCAAAATTTMTTTCATATTTATAATGGCTTGTTATGTTATTTTATTGTTTTCCAGCTTGAAATCTTCAATTTAGAATGAACCATTGACAAGGATAGTCCACAAAAATGAAAATCTACTGCTAAATAAAAGTTGTTGTTTGTTGTTTTTTTTTAAAGAAGAATAGGCTACCAAAACCGAATAGCATAGAAAAATAGAAAATGTCAAATCATTTTTATTATTCAATTTAATTGATGATATTTGGACTTGACAATATTTAAWTTTTTAGGTGATATTCTACATAGTGGAATATAGAAAATAGAAAATATTTCAGTCATCCATAAATAATTGATATTATTTTCTAGTACAATTGTAGATACATTTGTTTGGCAGTCAAAATCAGAAATTTAAAAGTGTAGTTCAACTACAAAAAACTTTGCAGTTAAATATTTTACAATATCACAAAGTGGGCTCCTCATATAGAAGCTGTAGAAAGGAATGGGAATCATGACTAATAAAATTGATGAACTCAACTCAGTACATTGTAGTTTCTAAAAATTCTAAGTTTAATTGATTGATTGATAATGGTGTATTTCAGAAAATTTTGATACCTGCAGACTCCAAAATCTGAGCAAAACCTAAAATCCTCTTTATCCCGGACACCATGATCAATATATCCCAGCATTCATATAGGGATCCCTAACTCAAAGTTTCCCTGATCCCATGTCATGCCACGAAATAAGGTGTTACCTTCAGGATTTCTCAAATTACAACTTCTATGATACCATGCAAGTTTCAAAGGATTTGATTATCTCGCAAGGGGCGTACAAACTGTACAAAGCAAATGATGAATGAAAGCTAGCGCWAATGAAGGTAAATATCATGTTCGGGCTACCTGTGTTCTATGAACCGGAAGCTCCGGACATTTGCTAGCCAATGCTAGAGATTTKCAGTTTTTGCGACAGCTGTTACAGCTACATTAAATGTAGTGTACGAGCTTTGCCTACAAGACAATTATCATTAGACAGTCAACAAACACAGGCGGCGAAACGATCAAGACAGCAAAAAACATAAAACCCAACATCGCCAGAAACTCGACAGACATGGCAGAACGAAAAGTTCAAGAGTATGGATCATGGATTAGTCCTATTTCTAGCGATTTACTAGTCCAAAAGTCCATCAGTTTGAAAGAAGTAAGAATAGATTCACTTGATAAAGGTAGGAACGATCGCCGTGTAAATTATTGARTAACTGTGTTACATGTAAAACACTATAATTGACTGATCAGCTGTTCAAAGGTTCCGAAAAACGCAAAATGGACAGTGAACTGGTACCAAACTGGGTTATTTTTTGTCAAGGATGTAGTGACATTCCGTCAAAACAAACGACAATAAGCACTGTCCATATTGCAATCAGGTAGTTTGGTAAGAGATTTTAAATATATGATTTCTTTCTCCAAGGATTTGTTTACTGGTCTGAAGGTTTACCTGAGGAAGGTGGCAGGACAGTKATTTGTAAGTTGAAGAATGGAAGCAAAGACTTTGAGGTCATTACACCTGATGGTTTCTATGTACGAACACTAGTACACGAGATGGGTGGAGGAGCATTCATTGTGCACAACAAGAAAGTCTACTTCTCAAACTTTGAAGACCAAAGGCTTTATCGACAAGATGCCGAGAAGGGAGCTATTCCAGAGCCAATCA